AAAAAGAAAACACTAACATTTTACATGTTACAGGATGTTGATTCTGCTCCCAAGACAGAGACCCCTGTTTGCCTAAAACCTGTTCAGTCTACCGGCAATTTCTCAGTGACAATCACATGCTGCTCCATCCATATGTAATCTTGTGCCAGGAAAGGCCACTTTCCTGAAAGGGAGGTAGACGAGTTGCCATTTTCCAGTATAAAAATAACTGGCTACCTGGATTCTCCTGCGAAGGTAATTATGCACCTTCCAAAGGATTTCCACCATGGATGTGTAATATAATTGTCCTCACTTTGTGTGAGCAGACATTACACACAGCCAGCATCTGGCTTGGATCTGTGACCAATATGGTAAAAGCTATGACTTGACTCGGTAATATGGGGACAGAGTGAAAGGAGCAATTCTCAACTGAGGCAGAAGGCAGGACATGAAGGAGGCAGAAAGTAAAGCTGAGGGAGAGGAAAAAGGCAGAAACTGTGGGCTTTTGACAGCTCTGGCTGGAGTTGTTTAGGCTGCAAGTAGCAGCTTGTCTCTGTTCAGGGTAATACTTCTCCTTCAGCAACACGCAGCACCTTAAAATACCTGACAATAGGATGCCCTTGTGCCATTAGTATTTGGTATTTCAAAACATGGTGCAGAGCAGAGTTAAGGCACAGATTAAATGACAATTTGGGAAAAAAGGATTAAGCTTTGAAAGAGAAAGCCAATCCAAAATGAAGCAGTATTTGTACACTTTTTAAAAACTTTGTCTGTTAAGTAAGATCTCCAGAGCCAATCCTTTATTTTATTTTGCAAAAATTTTATTAGTTTTTACAATATCAATGACAAACAAAAACATAAAACAAACAAAACATAACAAACATAAATCATAACCTTATTGAAAATAACAGTTATTTACTTCGTAAAACGACTTCCTCGTTTCCCCTTAGTTGAATTTCATTGCATATCCTTATAACGGTTTTCCAAATCCCAATTTTAATACCCTTTAAATTAAACATTAACATATTTAAATCTTTTCCTTCTTGTATTAAACATATTATTTTATCAGTTAACATAGATACAATCCTAAGCCCTTTAAGTATCTGGACGCTATTTCCAGTTATTTTAGCTTAACAAATTTAACTAAATAATCATTAAATTTCTTCCATTCTTCGTGGTGTTCCTCCTCCTTCTGGTTGCGGACTCTTCCGGTTAGATCGGCTAGCTCCATACAATCCATCATCTTCATCTGCCATTCTTCTACTGTTGGTAATTCTTGAGTTTTCCACTTTTTAGCTAACAAAATACGAGCCGCAGTTGTGGCAGAGCCAATCCTTTAAGTGAATCAGTAAATCCTTTAAGGGAATCTTTAAAATTGACAAGTGCTGATTGTAATAATGATTGTAACATAATACATTGCATTTTAATTCCTTTCCCTCCTTATTTTCCTGGGTTGTAGCTCAGTGAAGAGCCAGATCACATATGTTTGCACATCACTTACTGATTTGTTGCACCAAGCAATGACTTGCCTGTGTGCCATCCCAGGTTAAGAATGACAGAATATTTGTGCCACCCAATATTAATTCAAATACAATAATTTCTAATGGACACAGATCACACATTTTCCTTAGAATCATAATGTACTGCATAATCAAATTGAGAGAGATCATGTCGCGAGCAGGTGTGTGTGAATTAGCTGTTTCCTTATTTCTCTCTTCCAGGGTCGAATGGTTCTTAGGCAGGTTCTTCTGTGTTTTATTGAGATTTTCTCTCCCTTTTACTGTCTCCTGCTGCAGCAGTGCTATCCTGTTGACTGCTAAAAGCAGGAATTACACATTTTTTAATATCCTTGCAATTCGTTATTTAAAATATCTGACCTCTGTTGTCTTAATGAGCTTAACAGGATTATTTTTCCACTTGAGCATTTTCTACTGGTAGGAAATTCCCCCGAAGGATTACTTGTGTGCCGTCTTCCTATGTAGCACTATTAATGTTGATGACCAAAAGATGGCAGCACTATTTCCATTGTCATTGCCCTTCTGCTTTTCTGTATATATACTATTAAAGAAGAACCCGGATACAACAAAGCTCCCATCAATGACCAGCAAGAAGGGAGTAGCTAAACTTGTGAGTTGTGCATTTCAACTGCTTAGAGCACTTAGACCTATACATTGCTGGATAAAGTATTAAAGACTTGATTTAAAACCACTGCATGTTACGTTATATACAGAATTGTTGTACCACCTTTTTTTTGTGTGGGTAAAATTAGCATGGAAAGAAAGAAAAAATTCTAGCAATTTTTCTTTAGTGGTCTACAATTCTCTTTTGAACCTATGATTTGACAAGTAATAACCATTTCACTTTTAAAAAGTCATTTTGGGGAACCTGTCACCCTCCATGTTATTAGACTCCCATCATCCCTGACCTTTAGTCATGCTGGCTGGGCCTGGTGGGGAATCCAGCAACATTTTCAGTGTTACAGGCTCTCCTCTCCTGCTCTTTAGAGGTTGCAGTTAGGTACAGATCTCTTTTACAAGTCTGATGTGGGCTTAATCTGAGCCAAGTCACCCGGGTGCTTGATTTGCTGCGATGTTTCGAAGGGCTACCCCAGGCACCCCCAATCTGTGGCCCTCCAGCTGTTTTGGCCTACAATTCCCATGATCCCTAGCTAACAGGACCAGTGGTCAGGGATGATGGGAATTGTAGTCCAAAACATCTGGAGGGCTGAAGGTTGGTGATGCCTGGGCTACCCCAAGATAGTTTGCAACCTGAGGAAGAACTCAAAACAAAGCCCATCCAAAATCCAAAGCTGGTCAAGTTGTTTTGGTACCTGATTCAGAAAATCCCGCAAGTGCCTTATCTTGTGGTAAAAAATATAATAATATTTGTTGCTGTTGTAGATGATGATGATGTAAAATGCTTACCTTTCATGGACTTCACACTGCATAATGCGAGGACTTGCCTCCCAACAAAGAAGACCTTCCAAAAAAGTATTCTAGCATGATTTCCAAATATTGATACTCTCCTGACCACTGATAAAATGCAAAGAAGAACAGGGCTCTTGTACTGTTAATAATGGAATAAAGGACATTTTATCAGGAAGGTTTTTTCCTTGCCCAGCCTGACAATTTTATCTATTGCGTTTCCCTCTACTCTACAACTTTTAAACATACATGCACCCCATTTTCTTTTGCATCTGGTCATCCTAGCCCTTAACTATGGAGCAGTTCAATGTCATACATGTATTTCCACACATATGAAGACTTCAAATTAGTATAAGGTGATGGTTTTGCTTTCACTGCTCCCTCCCTGCAAACTGAGACCAGGGCTATACTTAGCCATACCCTCCTCTCATGCATAATTTGCATTTTTAGAGAAGCAATTTTAGAGAAACAGGGGGGGGGGGAGTTATTGTTTCTTATAAGTAATAACTAAAAACTTTCTAGTGTGGCTGATCAACCATTCCTTGCCCTCCCCTGGAGTGAGTGATAATAAAGCACATTATATTTGTTGAAAATTCGAGGACACTCTTGAGTAACGTGAAACACACTGTCCCACTGGGGCTGAATGAACTTGTTTCCTTTGTAGCTTCAACCCCACTTGACCTGGGAGAGAAGCCATGATGATGAATGAATGCTGGCTTCCTAAATGGCAAAGCAAAACACTCACACTACTGCTCAGCTGCCAGTTTGCTTAGCCACCATAGTTAGCATTAACAGCAGCAGATCTAACCTACATATGGAGTACCAAAGAACATTTCCAGAAGGCACTTCCTTATAGCTGCTTCTCTTGTTCACCCCCCCACCCCCGGCTCTGTCTTCTTCTTTTTAAATCTAATTGAAAGATAGCGTCTCGAGGTGATGACAAAAAGGCATATATCTGACCAGCACTAGATAGGCTTTCCTCAGCTCCGGATATGACTTCTGTAATGCACAAAGCAGCAATAGAGTGTCAGCTCCGAAGCAAAGTTTACGATGTTTTTGAAGATTGTGTTAGTTCCTGTCAAAGTTAACTTAGAAAATGGCCACAGTGTGGCACGGTATGTTGAGATGTTAGTTTATAGATCCTTGGTGGAGCTTGTTCCAGAATTGGTAATATATGGGATGTGGGAGATCAAATGAAAGGAAGGCTTTTTTTCTGTTTTATTTAAAAAATGATTAAAGAGTTGCAGCATCGTTTTGTTCCTTTTCTACCACATTGATCAGACAAATGGCTAAGAAAGTGGCTGCTGACCTATGTATAACAAACAGGGAAATAAGGAATAATGAGGCTCTATCAGGTTCTTGAGTCATTTTTGGGGAATCAAAGCTGGTGCTGCTCTTGCTACTTTGCCAAGTGCTTCCTAGTACCAGTTTCACTACTAATGCCCACCATTGCCTGGTAAGCCTACTTGAGGCCTTGCTGTGGTCACCTTGCCCATGGCCCCCTCCAACCCAATGTGAGTGCTGGTACCACTGAGCTTTACTGTTCTGATTTTCTACGGATAGTTCAGTCCGCACAGCATGAGCAGTGCTATTTTTCTAAAAAAAGAAGAGGTGCCGGAACTCACCATGGACACCTCCCTCGTTCTCTTAGAATGACGCACACCTGAGAGATGCCGGAACTAAGTTCTGGCTAACAAAAAAAAAAAAAGCCCTGAGCATGGGATCAAGCCTCATATTAGGCAAAAGACTCCTGTATTGCAGCGGGTTGGACTAATTGACCCTTGTAGCCCTTCCAATTCTACAATTTTCTGATTCTATGCAATGCTATTTTTCAAGAAAAAGAGGTGCCACAACTCACCACGAAAGCCTCTCATAATGTCAATAGTATCCACCTGAGTTCTGGCGAGTTCCAGCTGTAAAAAAGAAGAAGAAGCCCTTTTTCTATAGCAGGCAAGGAAGCATAGCAGCAGCTTGTTTTCCCACAGCCTCAGAGGTAGGCAGAACCTGCAATTTGCAATCCAGTCAGCTGAAAAATAAAAGAGATTAAAATTGCAGGTAATTTAGTTATTTAAAATGATGGCATCTCACCTGCTCTAGATGGCTAATAAGTCAAAACACCAAAACCATGGTCTGCATCCCGTGCTGTATATTTGCTCCTGCAACAGACTTCCTCTTTCTGCAAAGGAACCTCCTCTTCCTCTCCTGTACACAGCTCCACCCCCTACGTGCCCTCAAAAGCAGCTACAGAGGGCTGGAGGACTCTCTGGAGAAGATATGAGGTGTGGGGTGGAGAGAAAATGGAAGTCCTGTTGCACATTGGATGCAATAGACTATTTCAGATGCAAAAGAATCTCCAGGTTAAACTCAACCAACCCCAGGAACTCTTGACAAAGTGAAGAAGCAAGTGTGATTATTCCTGGCATGCATACTTGAGAGGGTTCACATCTTGTAAAGTAAAATTATTATTATTATTATTATTATTATTATTATTATTATTATTATTAATTATGTGTGTGGAGGGCTGAGGTTAAGCAGCTTGCCTCATGTCATGTTTTTGGCAGAAGCAGTAGTTTAACCCAGAGTCTTCCTTGTTCACTAAATAACCCTAGTACTAATTTACAATAGTAAAATTAGGACTTTTTTTTCACCTCTCAGGTGGGCGCCATTGCCATTCTAAGAGAATGAGGGTGGTGTTTGTGGTGAGTTGCGGCGCCTCTCTTTCTAGAAAAATAGCACTGAGCAAAATACTATATGAGTAAACAAGTCTGTTTAAAGCTTCGTGGCGATGTGTGTGTGTGTGTGTGGGATTAAACGCAGTGTGCCTGATATCTTTTAAGAGAGTTTAATGGATTCCCTAATAGTTGAGAAGGAACTGTAATTGGGGGGCCTATCTAGTAGTTGATTTCTGGATCTTGTCACACCAGGTAAGTAGACTGATTTTTATAGCCTATACAGTATTCCCAAGGGGAGCAAATTCTGAAGAAAAGGGTTCCAGGCGACTGAGCGTGTTCCATTTGGTTCACTTTGCTGGAATTACTGTGAACCAGTAACTGAAATCTACTCTAATGAAAAAGCTTTAGGGGCTCACTTCGCAGCTACCAGAACTGAAGGCGCTGTGGAGAATAGAAGATGGAAGTCAAAGAAACCAAAACAGCTTTCCTTAAGCTTTCTTTCTGAATCAGTAACTTGCTTGTTTTTTTCCTGTTTTAATGCAGTGTGTGTTTGTCTCTGTAAAATCATAGGCAATATAAAAATAGTGGTTTTGTTTTTTGTTTTTTGGGTGATATTCTCATCCTAAGTCTGAGGAAGAAAATTGATTATTAAAGTCTTCCACTGTCTCTTTATCAGAGAGAGAACAAACCTAAGCGGTGCAATGCTTAAAACGAGGAGAAGGCAGAAAGTAGGTCCCCCATTTACAGAAGCCATTTTGATTTGATCCCGGAATGCCCTGCTTTTCCTTAGGATGTCCCTGTTTTCATCACAGAAATGTTGGAGGGTATGGAGTTATGCAACCCCTGAGCCAAGGAGATAAGTAAACTATACAACCAGGCATCTGAAGACAGCCCTGTATAGGGGAAGTTTAGTTTTTAAAAAATGTTTGTTGCTTTATTATGTTTTATATATATTGAAAGCCACCCAGAGTGACTGGGGCAACCCAGTCAGATGGGTGGGGTATAAATAATAAAAGTATTATTATTATTATTATTATTATTATTATTATTAGAGAAATGTTGGAGTGTATGCTGGTGGCCCTAGATAAGCCATAATATTTCCACATTAGCCTTCTGTAAAAAATAATAATTGGGGGGGGGCTGAGACAGTGTAAGTTGTAAGGAACTGGCGCCTTTAGGTGAAGTTTGCTACAAGGACATCATTTTATTTTATTTTTACCTGCGTGTCATCAAAATTAAAGAGTTACCAGGAGTTCATAGATGCATTATTCGCCTTTCAGCCTCTGGTTTTTTTTTACATTTATTAATGTGTAATTGTTTTGGTCTTCTCATTCTTGGCATGATCTGTCTGCTTTCAAGCATCTCGTGCAAATAGTTTCCCAGTTAGCATATCTGAGCGTTTGATGTTTATTTGGGTAATCTGTTTAATAGAAAGAGCTGTATTTTTTTCCCATCTGAAGAAAGCAGAATCTACCTCTGTTATTTCCCCCCTCCTCCTGTTCTTGCATCTATTTTTAACACCTTAAAAACATGCTAAGTAGGAAACTGGAAGGATCAAACAAAAGTCACTTCATGGGAAAATAACAGTGTTAATAGAAAACTAGGAACAATCTAGATATAGCAGGTGTTAAGGTTGCTCACTGGGCCTTATCTTTCTCCCCATTTGAGCATGCTCATTATTGTTGTAATATTGATCATACACTTGTTTTAACAGTGTTTATATCGTGTTTGTGAGGGATAGGCAATACATGGTTGGCAGGCTTAGAACAATTCCATGGAGCCAGCAGACACTTATTTGAAACTGAAAATCTTCACTTAACGAAAGTGAGTGTGCAGTCCTGATGTATTCACAAATGTGATGACAAAGCTCAATAAGATTTGTTTTAAAAAAATCATATATATATATATTAGAATCAGAGTATTACAGAACAAGTGAAATAGCTACATTTCAACCTCTGCCATGTACATGAGAATGATGTATATGTCATGTTAATTTAAAGCCACCAAATGAGCAGAATTAATACACTTCACAAACATTTTGACTATTGTAATTTACACAGGTGTTTGATTTGCAAAACCCCACTATCAAAAACTCCTGCTCATGCCAAATACATCTTCTTATCTCTTTAAAAATGGATTTGTTTGTCTTTGCCAGCTCTTAATGTGAACTTTGTGGCTGTTATCTTGTTTTTTACCCAAACAATCTTGCGGCAAGTCGTTATTAAAGGGTATTCCTCCACCTGGCTCCAAGAAACAAAACAAAAAAAATGGAGTAGATATAACCCCCACAACTTTCAAGCATGAATGATAGTCCTTAATTTGGAAATAGGTGGTGGCTATGAGCTTTCCATAGCCCTCACCATACTGCTTCCTGGTTCTAGTAGCCTCCCAGAGCACATTCTCTGCCCAGGCCACAGTTTCTCCCCTCTAACACCACCATGGTTTCTACACATACGACTTGGCTGCCTAGTTTGCCTATGTGTGTGTTTGCAAGATGAGCACACCAGCCAGCTGGCCATATTCTTCATGGGGGTTGCTGCAGCTGCAGCAATAGTTGTGTGGGGCGTGGCAGAAGGCAGAAATTGATGGGCTTCCTGTTGCAGCAAAGAAGTTCTTCCCTTCTCTAAGCACTAGCTTGATCAACAAATGCGGGTTTGTGAACTCAGGCCAGGGAGGTCTCCTCAGCAGCAACAGCCTTGATATCCTCCTGCAAATTTGAAAATGGCACCGGAAGTTATTGTAAATGAGAAGATGATCATGAAGCATGTAAGTTCCTTTTCCCATTTCCTGCAAAATGTACAAAACAGGCTTCTGAGATCTTTGTAAATTTGCTGCTTTAGTAAAACTGGGATTGGGCTCCAAGGTCTATATCAAGTAGAGCCATGGATCCTAAGCGTGCTTGCATGGGAGTAAATTGCACTGTATTCAATAGGATTTCAGTATCCAAAGGGTCATACCCTAACCTACATTTCAGCCAGTTTAATCCCTTTTAAAAATAAAAACTGATGAAATAAAAATGAATACAGTACAATATGCACCATGTCTTTTGTTCAAGGCTAGACTCCCAAGCTATGTGGAATCAAAGATTCCTCTCTGTTACACAAAAGAAGGGAGTCATCTCAGAGGAAGTCAGGGTTAGAAATTGAGGTGGCCACAGAACTGCAACAATTTATAATATAGCCATATTTTAAGACATTTGAAAAGGGTAATAAATAATAAATTTAATAGCCACCTGTGAAAGAATAGGGCTTTCAGCCATTTTGTGTTTGGTTTTTGATTGCATAACTTGGGTTGTGTAAAACAGTTGCTTTTTGCTTTATGGTGTTTTGTACGATTTGGTCTGATGCCTTGTTATTCATCCAGCACTTTTAATGCCACATCAGTATTGGGAGTAGGTTGGGCCAAGACCAGAAGATTAGAAGACTGATTAGCAGAGGCAGCCTGATAAAAATAAAGATGCCCATTTAAGAAGAATGAGGGGTTTGGTCTGTCTAATGTTGTTCCCTCTCTTCCCACACATGGTGCAGGCTGCAGCACATAATCTCTGTTTTTGTGATCTTGATATTTTATTATTAGCTTTGTGCCCCATCCAAGGGCTTCTGGGCAGTATATATGGGACTATTTTCTTTTTGGTCCCATACTAGGAGGTAGATTAGAATGAGAAGCACTATAGCTAGTTCAAAGTGAATGAATAAGCCTCATGGCTGAATAGAGATTTGAATCAAGAACCCCCAGTCCAAGTCCAACACTCTAACCATTGCACCACAGTGTCTTTCACTAGTTTTACTTTGCACCAGCTTTTCCAGATAATGAAACAAAATTTGAAGCTTTTATGTTACTCTACACTACATGCAATTTCTGCAAGTGTTGTATTTTCATAAAGGAGCAGTAGAGATCATGGATTGAATATAGGCTTGCTGTTTCACAGATGTAAGGACCCTTTTGATATGTGGAAGCGAGTTAGGTTCTAAGGAGGTTCCCATTACAGTGGTACCTCGGGTTACATACACTTCAGGTTGCATATGCTTCAGGTTACACACTCCGCTAACCCAGAAATAATGTTTCAGGTTAAGAACTTTGCTTCAGGATGAGAACAGAAATCGTGCTCCGGCTGCACGGCAGCAGCAGGAGGCCCCATTAGCTAAAGTGGTGCTTCAGGTTAAGAACAGTTTCAGCTTAAGTATGAACCTCCGGAACGAATTAACCCAAGGTACTACTGTACACCGAATGGATGCTCCCCAGTGTCACCTCCCACACTGTCTTGGAGGGCTCCCCAACCCTAGTCTAGAGCAAATATTTTTTTGTGGAGGGGGGCTTGGGAAGCATCTGGTTTGTAAGGTTCCAGTTATATGGACAAATCTGTCTTATTCCTGAAATAGAAATTCATTTTTGTGTCTTCTGAGTAGTTACGTAGAAAGGAATATATCTTACAGATTCAAGAGAATGGAGTGGAAAGTGAAAATAAGAAATATATATATGAGATGCCTTTGATGCAGGAGGTGATGGGGAGGTGTGCAAACAGCCATTGTTTCTGTACCTAAGAATCCCTCTATTGATAGAATAAAAAGAAAATTGCAGAGTAGTTCCGTGAATCTTCCAGGGCTCCAAAGAACTGAAGGGCTTCTCTCTAAATAAAGTGCTCCCAGCATTTCCTCCCTGGCTCTTTGAATATAAAATTTGATCAAGGAAAAAAAATGAACGTAATAGAAATCAGTTCTCATTTGCTGCTTTATTCATTTAATAAAATGGGCTGTTTGTGAATGGGCTTCTTTTGAAATGAACTATTTCCATGGTAAATGGGTGAGCATTTGAATAGACTGGAAGTGTGGAGAGATAGATAATGCTACTTGCAATGATGCCTATGATAGATGATGGCACATGTCAAATTTTAAATAAATTTAGTGCTCCTGAAATGTGCTAGATTGCCAGTGACTGAAATTACTCTATTTACCAAGCATGAACCACATAACTGCAGCAGTGCCTGGTTTTCCATGCCGACTTGTTTGCTTCTGTCGAATAAGGCAATGCAGAAGGGAAAGCAAACACACAGCAAAGGAAGCTGTCTTATGTCGAGCCAGACCACTGGTTCGTTGCGCTTAGTATTCTCTTTGCTGGTTGGCAGTGGCTCTCCAAGGTTTCCCAATCCTACTATAGATTGAATCTAGGACCTTTTCCATGGAAAGCTCTTTAATGCTAAGCGTTGTCTCTCTGCCTTTCTAAAGTAATATTCACTGAACATAGTGGTATTTATTGATTTCAAAGTCACGCCAACACTAACTTGCAAGCCAATTGCTGTTTATCATCTCTGGCAGCCATCAAGGAGCTTCATATACCTTCTTGAAAATCCAAGGTCATTATTTGTCCTGGGTTGGTAGCACCTTCAGAGATGTTGAATAAAGGGGCAATCAGTATTGGGGCCATGCTGTGCAGGGTTTTTCTTAAAGCCTTTCCCCCTATGCCACAGTCTTTGTGAAAATCCCTGCCCACAGCTGATATTTGACCCCACTGGAAGACACTCATTTCCAGTGTGAGAAATGGCAACTTTAGTTGGGGAGTGATAATCATTGAGACTGCAATGTGTGTGTGTGTGGGTTAAATCCCACTATTCTCACATGAGCCATGGAGAACGTAAGGTGTTAGGTAGAGACATCACCTTGCCAACAAAGGTCCGTATAGTTAAAGCTATGATTTTCCCAGTAGTGATGTATGGAAGTGGGAGCTGGACCATAAAAAAGGCTGATTGCCTAAGAATTGATGCTTTTGAATTATGGTGCTGGAAGAGACTCTTGAGAGTCCCATGGACTGCAAGAAGATCAAACCTCTCCATTCTTAAGGAAATCAGCCCTGAGTGCTCACTGGAAGGACAGATCGTGAAGCTGAGGCTCTAATACTTTGGCCACCTCATGAGAAGAGAAGACTTCCTGGAAAAAACCCTGATGTTGGGAACGAGACGACAGAGGACGAGATGGCTGGACAGTGTTCTCGAAGCTACCAGCATGAGTTTGACCAAACTGCAGGAGGCAGTGGAAGATAGGAATGCCTGGTGTGCTCTGGTCCATGGGGTCACGAAGAGTCGGACACGACTAAACAACAACAACATTCTCACATACCACAGTCTCACTGCTGCTTGGCTTTCCTGACCCTGCTATTTATAAAAGTTAAAAAAAAGAGATGTTAATTGTAAAAATGCAATTAACGTCATGCCCATATTGGTCCTCAGAAACAGGTGGAAATCTGTAAAGCCCTCGCACTCTTTTATACCAGAGCACTATATGTGCAATTAGCAAATGATCTTAAGAATTGGATGTGATCAGCCTTTTTTGTATTCTCTGGGCCATGACAACTTAAGTAGGTTATACGTTGCTCTTGCTTCCAAGATATTGAAGAAAACGAACATAGCAACAGAGTGAACGATAGAGAAAGGGATTGTGTATATAATTGTGATGGCTGAAATACACACCCCTGGTAACTTTGAATTTATTAACTGTGTGGATGATTGGTTGTTTTTACAAGTTTAATTGTTTTAATAGTGGTGGTTTGCAACTCCTGGTCTCCTTTGGGATAGAAATTTAATAAATAAAATACTTGTTTATTATGAATCAAATTGAAATTAGGGATTAGGCATGTGAAAAATCTTGATTTTATAAGAATGAAATCCTAACTGTCCCCCACCACTAATGGGGCTTTGCAGAGTGGTGGAACTACTTGTACATTCATTGCCTAGCCCAGGCATAGGCAAACTCCATCCTTCAGCTGTTTTGGGACTACAACTCCCATCATTCCTAGCTAACAGGACCAGTGGTCAGGGATGATGGGAGGTGTAGTTCCAAAACATCTGGAGGGCCGAATTTGCCTATGCCTGGCCTAGCCACTTATAGTTCCTGTGAGGAGACAGGACAATTGGGACCAGGCCCTGTGACATCTCCAGGCTGGTGCACTAGTTGAGTTCGAACTGTGCCCAATGCCCAGCTGCCAATGGCTGTGAGATTGGCTTTGGATACAACAGATCAGAGGCCAGCACAGCCTCTCCCCACCCTTCCTTTCTCTTTGGGGCTTTTTGCTGGGTTTCTCCCAATGAGGATATCAACAGCAGGCCTCCTGGCTATTTGGTGGCCAGCAGGAGGCTGACCCACTTGTCAGAGCTGAGCTGAGAGACACCTCCACTCAATCCAAGCCTCACATGGCTCAGCCTAAGCAGGATTTGGATTGCCCTTTAAATCTATTTCCCCAGCCTTGAGCAGTCGATAGTTGCAGAAAATCCTTCTGTCTATTCAGAGTCTAGTTGTTTTCGTTTAAGCAGCCATTCCTTCAGTATAATTAATTGTCTGCATCAACTAAAGGCACTGGGTGTCACTTGTGTGCATTTTGTTTAATAGATTTTATGGTCAGTCCTGCACAGTGTAAGGAAGCATTTTGCTGCATGCAGAAAGGGGTTGAAATGTCACAAGGATGAAACCACTCACAGTGGAAGGTTTTATGGTTGTGATTTTATCTTTGAGGTCAGTGGGACTTACTCCCAGGTAAGCTAATTAGGAAGATTTGCAGCCTCGTGGTCTTGGATGTTTTTGGCTTTGGGTATGCGTGTGGCAGTGCTGCTGGATCTTGAGTTTCATAGTCTTAAAACTTAACCACTTAAAGTTCTCCCTCCTCTCCGCTCATCGCGGGGATGACAACAGCATCACTAGAATGCCAACACAATAAATGCATGGGTAGCAGGTTTAACAAAAAAATATAAATGGATTATGGAAGCCACACAGCTGTTTTGGCACACCACAACAGTTTAACAAAACAGCATTTGAGCTGAACTCTGCTTTTAATAGACTTCTGCACTGGCCCTTGTGGGTACTACCAATTTGTTTCTTTGGAGGGCATCTGAAGCCCATCAGATGTTAATAGTGTTCAGTCACAGCTGAGGTAGGCTGGCTATGAACCAATGATCCAGAGGCAAAAAGCTTCTGTGGCCCATCACCAATCTCCCTGAGCCACCCAGTCTCCTGCAGTCCACTCATCTTTCTGGTCTCATAGCTCTCATAAGTTAATCTTTCTTCTCCTGTGTCTAATGTGATAATCTTTCTTCTCCTACATATCTGCCTTTGACTTCCTTGACAGTAAGGCTGACAAACACCCTCAGTAGTCCCCCCCTCCCTTTGTTGCACAGAAGTATTAGTCAGGAGTACAGTTTGAAGTAAAATGGATATCTAAAAATAAAAAGACATGTGCAGGAACCGTTTTCACGCATTCAGCTGAATGGCGAAGGCACATGCTGATGCTCGAGTGTGGCTAATGAGAGTGGTTCTACCCTCCTCGTTCATTCATTGAATTCATGAGAGGTTTTGTGAATAAGGCTTATATTTTTTAGAGTTCTGTGGAGTTTTTAATATAGTTTTGTTGTGTTAGTTATGATATATAACTGAATTGAATTATGATTATCAGTTGGATTGTTTTGAAAAATTATTCTTATACCATACTATGCACAGAGTGGTACCTTGGTTTAAGAACAGCTTAGTTTATGAACAACTTGGATTAAGAACGCTGCAAACTCAGAAGTAGGTGTTTTGGTTTGTGAACTTTGCCTTGGAAGCAGAACATGTTTCACTTCCTGTTGAGTGTGTTCCATTTGTAAATTGAGTCCCCCGCTGCTATGGGAAATCACACCTTTGTTTAAGAACGGACTCAAGGAATTGATTAAGTTTGTAAACCAAGTTAACACTGTACTGCTTTTATTACTGATATTACCAGCTTTTGTTGAAACATTTTTTTTATTTGGATGAATTATTATAATAGTTGATTTTGAGTTGTTGTCATGAACTGAATTACTAAATTTATTTGAAATGCTGATGTTGGTGTTTTTTACAGATTGCTGTTTGCTACTGCAGTTTTTCCTTCATTTCTTTCTTTCTTCTCTGTACCTCAATAATCCTCTCTACTTCTGATCAACATGTGAGGAATGGTTATTGATCAATCAATTTCTGTACCACCTTTCAACAGTCAAATCACACTTTCAGCCATGGTGCCCCATTGGAGGAATTCCCAAGGAAGCTGTCTGGCACAGACTCTCGTTATATTTTAGGCATAAGGCAAAATATCCTATAATTGTATCCTATCCTTCAGTGTATAATCTCAGGGTGGTTTACCATACATCACAACACATAAAAAAAAATACAAGAAACACTTGCACGATTGTATAACGCCTCAAAATCCAGAGAGCAGCTCCCTTCGTTTAACAACATTCTGAAATACAGATTCCTGCTATTCCTTAAAGACCAAGCTCACATCTGGGGCATTTTTACCTCTCATCTTTTCTCATTTTGAGAAAATTCTTATTTAACATCACCTTGGCTTGAACGAAAGACAGCTAAAATGCTACTCTCATCCTTGAGCTGTGACAGGCGCAGGATCACAAGGAGAAAACCATTTGCAGCCATCCTTACTGACGCTGAAACATCACATGCAATGGCCTGGTTTGAATATTCCGCTCCTGGGACAACAGCTAGCCTTAGTGTCATGACTGGATGATGTGTTTGGGGACAGGATGTTCCTGCTGGTTCAGAAGGTTCAGAGCCTAGTCCTTTGTCACTATTCCATGCACCAAGGCATGGAAGTGAAAGTAGCAAAGTTCTCTTCCCTTCTAATGCACTCACTGCTAGTGCTGTTCTTAACCTTTTCTCCGATTGCTTCCAGATTGATCTGTTTATTGAGCATTACTCCTGATCTGTTTGCACAAAATTTGTATGGATTTTATATTATACCACTGTCAAGTGGTAGTTATCCCACACTCTAAAATACATTTCTCCATTACTTTTTCCTTTTACTGTAAAAAGTCATTTTTAAAAAAAGCACATTTGTTGCACATGAGTGCTGTAGTGCTGTTTATCACAATGTACCACTTTTTTTGGGTTGTTTATGAAGGTGCACTTTATTGCACAAAGGGCGTATATTGAATGGGTGAAAGATATGCTCTAAAGTGCTGACAGACTGAAAGTAACCACTGGAAGTGACTAGTTTGCATACGTGCCTCCTCTCTGCAGATATTTACTCCTATTCATCTGTGGTGGGGCACAACACTGGAGGGTGGCATTCTCCCCCACATAATTATTAATTGCCAGGAGTGACTGCTCAAATATGACTACAGTGGTTCTGAAAAGTCTGAAAATGGGACAGTATTATATCTAGCTGTCAAAACCTGTCCTATAAAGTTCCCATCACAATAGAGGCCAGCACTCTAGCATATGGCAAGAAAGAGATGTACAAATAAGTTGTCATATTTTTCTTGTAATCAGTGTATCTTGGACCATGGATGACATGGATTAAAAGTTTCTAGAATGGGATAATGACTCTGGGAGGCATAGCATTCTACTCAGTTAGCTAATGAAAATCTGATATTCCATTTCTTCTTTTCTCTCTTGCATTACAGCACTTGATTTATCTGTTCAGGAACAGTTTACCACTTATCTTTACAGTTTGTAATACTGCCGTAGGGAATAAACATTTTATTTCTGCAAACAATCCCCAGAAATAGATTTTTTGTTGTTACTGTTACTGAAAGCAGTTTGTTTTTAATAATACACATTGAATTTTAGAGCCTGATTCCTTATGGAACCATAAAATGCAAGCCAATCTCAGCATCTGACTTCCTCTCTTTGTCAACTTTTTACCAGATGTGCTGGATTGTCTGCATGATCAGCTTCTGAAAACAAAGTACAGTGTTAAGAACATAAAAAAATGGATTGCTAGTGCATTGAGTCCAACACCCTGTGGCAAGGCAGATGCTGTCATAAGTTTTCAAGAATGGTATGATGGAAAAAGCCACTATTTTATCCCTAGCATGTGTTATTCAAGGTACACTGCCTTTGAACATGGAAATCTCCATTTTGGGGCTGTTCTATTACAGGCTTAGTTATTAGTAACATGTAAAAGGAGGTGAGATCTCCCACAATGGTCTGGATTCAAATTCAGGTTTTTCCAGTTTAGCGTTCCCAACAATTAATAATTTTGGTTTCTTGTGTAGTGAGAAAGTACATTAATTCTACATGAAGGTCTAATATTTCACAGAATCACAGAATTGTAGAGTTGGAAGGGACCTGAAGCGTCATCTAGTCCAACCGCCTGCAATGCAGGAATCACAGCTAAAGAATCCCTGACAGATGACCAGCCAACCTCTGTTTACAAAACCTTCATTGAAGGAGAATCCACCACCTTCCAAGGCAGTCTGTTCCACTGTTGAACAGTTCTTACCACCAGAAAGTTCTTCCTGATGTTTAGTAAGAATCTCATTTTTTGCCCTTAAAGGTATACACTGTTCTGGAGATGTAGCTACTCCTTCATATCAGCTTTCTGCTCTAGTATTTACAAGAGTAGAAGGGAACATCTGCCAAACAGCTGGAATGGTGCAGTGCCAGAGGTTACTTTGCTAACTCTACAGCCTTCCATAGCCCTTGCCTCTAGTGTGAACTGGCCAGAAATCAACAAGTGATTGGTGTACATGTAGCATTACAACAGCTAAATGTAGATGCAAAAGACCGCTGTGTAGATTTGCTCTGTGTGTTTTCCGTTTTGCAACAGAGGAAAAGCTTGGGGTCAAGGAAGAGGGTGCAGGGAATGTTTCACTCCGCAGTCTTCTGCATTTTTACCTGGAAGTAAAATCTCATTGCCATGGGTCTTACTTCCAAGCACTTATGCACAAGACCTCAGCCTTAAAGCAATAATGTCCCAGCAGGTGGTGTTGAATTTTATGGCTTCTAAAAATCCAGTGGCTTTATATATATTTTTATATCTCCACCTCCTGCAAAACTTCTTTCTTTTGTCCTCACTGATCATTTCAGCTGCTGATCCATCTCTTCTTCATCCTTTTTCCAGTAGCACTCTTGCTACTGCCAGGATTACTGCTTATGTGGCCTAAACTGACCAGAATTGGATACAGGTTACTGACTGCTTTGGATTGCAGGTTGCTAAAGTGTGTCACTGCTTTGTTGGCATCCTTCTGAACAAATTGATCCTAACTTGTCCAACATAACACGTATTGCCCTTTGCTCTCCTTACCTCTCACATTTCCCTACAAAACACTTCTACTTTGATCACCTTGCATATCCCCTTCCATTTTTTCCACTAATTTCCTTTTTGTCTCTGCCTTACACTTCAAGCTTAATACTCTCACTTTTAAAGGCCTTGTAGAATTGATTGCTGCCTACAAAGTGGTGCTTGTTCCTAGTTGCATGATATGCTTCTCTCCCATTCTTTTCAACGTAACATCTTTGTTTCCACCTCCTTCCTTTCCCGTGGCATTTTCCCTCTCTGTGTTGTCTGTCCTTGAGTCTTCTTCTAGCCCAACCTTTCTGTCTGCCTTGTGGGAGGCTAGATGGAAAACTTTGAACAATCTAGTTCTAATATAGATGTCTTAATGGACCGACAAAGGATATATTCTGGTTGTGCATAGACTTGGTAATTTAGCACTCAGTTGCATTGCATATGAGACTCGGAGCAGCCAGATACTGTAGAGAAGTGAAGGATGGTGCGGAGGCATGTAAATGAATAATAATTCCATTGTTCCACATACTTTAAACTCTGGCTGTTTAACTATTAATATTCTAGGTTTATATGATAAGATAAATTGGTACCACTTAGAATACGTAATGGGCTTACTTGAGGTGTTTACTGCTGGGAGCTAGGATTTAGAATGCATTTTAGGTTACTATCCAAGGTTTAAAGGGCCTCAGACACACACTTCGCTTGAAATTAAGATTATTTGTGGGCTTCGATTTTTGTTCCCCATACTTGGTATCCCTTTCCAGTTGTAATAATGTTATCAGTGCATGTATTTAGAAAGATTATTTTGCAGCATTTGGCTGTAAGGACCTTTGTGATTTACTGGAAGGTTCTGCTAATTCATTTACATACAAAATGAGATTATTTGTTACCACATTTAAACTTTTTTAACAGTCATTAGTATTACTTTGTGCTGCACTTATAAATGAACAGAAGAAAAGTTGAACTACGGAAGGCAACCCTGTTTAAACCGCAAGCCTGTCTTTGTGTCGAGGAAGACACTGGCTTTCAGTAAACATGTAGTACTAAGGAGAGATCAGAGGATCCTTTAATCCAGATCTGTTCCTTTATGCAGAGTAATAATGCTCCTTCCCTTGTCTTCTATCCCATCTGACTGTCTTGAATCTGACAGCACTGAATATCCATGTGTGGGCATAACAGTCTTAGATGTGCCCAAGCCTGGATGATTTAGTCAATATTCCAGATGAAATTTGAGATGATCCTAGATAAAACCCAGGAATCGGATGCTTGATATGGGCCCCAGTATTTGGGATTTTATGGATTTATGCATTAAGGACATGATGCCTGCTTGTGAATTGACCTCCGGTAGTGTTGAAGTGCAGGATGTACATGTGAGGAGGGGAGACATGGTCTTGTTTCCCACCATATGTAGGGGAGTGGTGCTGGGGGAAAGCTAAGATTTAATCCAGCCCATAGACATCTATATGTGGGGATGAGGAAGACAGACAGAAGTGGTTTGGAAAGCTTTTACTATAGCCGCGGTGAAACATGCAGGCTGCTTTTCTTTTTAAAACCTGTTCAGCCAGGTGATTGGATGCAATAAAAATGTGCAAAAATACCTTCGGCTGCTTTATTGTCCTCCCCCCCCAAATAATGACCTTTTTATTTGATTTCTGCCAAATTGAAAAGGAAAGTATTACAAAATGGTTTACAGATTGTATTCATTGCAGGTAAGATTGAAATGAGTATACCCTAGAGGGTTGGAAATGTAGTGCCTGAGGAGCTGAATTTCCTTTAATGTTGGTGCATTTAGAAAAACGATTTAATTCTTGTGGGGAATCTGTTTTGAACGTTATTCAAGATACTACTTGTGGTTGGCTCCAGATGAAATTTCACTTGACTATGTAAGCAGTATTTTGGATGTGGAACTATTTGTATTAACTTTCAGCTGCTGTGATCCGCTTTGTCAGTTAGCGTTTCTGGGGGGTGGGACGGGATAAAAATATAATAAACGAAGGATGAATTTGTTAATCCCTGTTTGTTAACTCTTAATTAAGCAGGGATTGAAGAATAAAATGTGAAGTTTTCTGGGTCCTAGGTCGTGCCATTGACACATGAATTGTAAGAGCATAAAATGTCACTGACAAAATGAACTGACAAATTTAAGTGCAACTTTGTGAAGGAAAGGAAAGGCTTTGTAATTATGCAGTTTTGAGAGATATTGGAGTGGAGTGATTTAGGATGGGCTTTCATAGGAAACCCAAGTTAAAAATGCCCCTCCCTCCACCATTTATTTATTTGTTTATTTATTTGATTGATTGATTGATTGATTGATTGATAAATTCCCTTCATCATAAGCCCTTAGGGCAGTTCACAGAAGCATAAAGCTCCATCAGTGGTTCTGAACAGGTCACTTTCCCCTTACAAGAGTCACGTGAGCAGAAAATTACAGAATTCCCTATAAACTGCCCTGAGTTCCAGATGCAACTGTGATGAATTTGTTGGCATCTGTCTGTCTCGAGAAACAATGGAACGCAAAGGTGTAAAAGACAATGGAGGTGAAGTCAAACTGCTGACTGCAGAGTCCAATTCTGTCCACTGTTGTACAGTGACGGCATTTGCATGTCACATTAAACCATAGTTTAGTGGAACATGAGCAAGCAAAAAGCAAGCCACAGCAAGGCTTAGGTTTGTGCACTCCCCTGGGAAGATGAGCTCAGAAAGTGGATAGAGAGAAGCTTTTCTCCCTATTTTATAACCCAGGGCCATCTGGTGAGGTTGGCTGTTAGAACTTTCAAGACACACAAAGGAAGGTACTTCTTTACACCACACATAGTTCATAGAATCATAAAAGTTGGAAGGGACCCAAGTAAGAGCTGTTTAACAGTGGAACAGTTTCCCTTGGGAGGTTGTGGACTCTCCTTCCTTGGAGGTTTTTAAGCAGATGCTGGATGGCCATCTGTCATGGATGCTTTCGTTGGGATTCCTGCATTTCAGGGGGTTGTACTAGATGACCCTTTGGGTCCCTTCCAACTCTTCAATTATTTTATGAAAACAAATACAATAATTTCCACATTTGAATGCAGCCAAAGTCCAACCGCTTATGCTTTCTGGAAGTACTGTAAGATGTCCTAATATGGGTTATATTTTAGCAGCCAGAGTTTAGCAGGTTTGTGACACACACACACACAAACACACACACACACACACACCAGTAAATGCCCCTATTCATATGTGAATATTGACAATCCCATTTGAATTTTTATGAGTGTCTGAAAACTCAATAGTGCTGATGAATGTTGCCTTCACCCAAATGTAATCATGAGCATTAACTCAAATATGTCTAAAAACTGGGGGGAAATATATATCTTTGTTTGGGTCTCATATAATTCAGCTAGAGTTGATCACATTCATATGTGCAAGTTGACATTCACCAAATTTTGGACATGAATTGCAACATATATGTAGAGTGGGTGGAATCTGTTTGTTTGTTTGTTTGTTGAATATTTTATTAGTTGAATACAGTGGTACCTCGCAAGACGAATGCCTCGCAAGACAAAAAACTCGCTAGATGAAAGGGTTTTTTGTTTTTTGAGCTGCTTCGCAAGACGATTTTCCCTATGGGCTTGCTTCGCAAGATGGAAATGTCTTGCAAGTTTGTTTCCTTTTTCTTAACACCGTTAATACAGTTGCGACTTGACTTCCAGGAGCAACTCATAGAACGCGGTGTGGTAGCCTTTTTTGAGGTTTTTAAAGATTTTGGTGATTTTTGAAGCTTTTCCAAAACTTTCCCGACACCGTGCTTCGCAAGACGAAAAAAATCGCAAGACGACAAAACTCGCGGAACGAATTAATTTCGTCTTGCGAGGCACCACTGTATAAGAACAACATATAATCAAATACAAGCAATCAAATACAGTTTTCTCCCCCCCCCCCCACAAACACCCCCAACTACGCCCAGGTAATTACATTGGTAATATAATCAAATAAAAAATTATTTCTACAGTTGCTGGTTTTAAAAATGTCATTCTTTTTTTTTTTTTTTTAAGAACTATATATGACTTGCCTTAAAGAATGGGATTTTGGGAAGGGGCAGGACAAAAATTGGAAATAAAGAAATAAATGAAAGCTTTGAAAATCACTTATCAGACGTAATAAGTTTCTCACTGCCCAGGAATTAGTCTGGTGAATTTACACATGCTGCACATGTCTCTCACTGCTGGTTTTACATGTCTTGCAACTGACATTCCACTTACTACTAAAAAGTGTGCTTGTGGAGTTTTGTTCCTGAAATCCTTTGGTCTGACTCCTGTGAGTCTTGAGTGTCATTCCAGCTCCAGTAACTAATGCGGGTAGCACAGGTAGATGGATCTGACAGGACTGAGAACTAACAGCGTGTCAGACGCTTTTCTCCAATGAAGGCTATAGATCAGACCTAGGAATCTGCTGGAGCCGAAGAGGGTGACAAGGGAATAACATCCCTTTCTCTTCCATCGACAGGGGTAATAACTCCTGGCTCTCTAGGGACAGATTGTAAAAGCCAATAGCTAGGAGCTATGAAGCAGGGAGGGCAGAAGAATTGAAAATTAAAGAGGGAGTGAAAATTTGGTGTAAGGCTTTAGTGAGAGGTTGGAATAAAACATCAAATGTCACTCGTTTAATTGCCTTATTGTTGATGTAGGGGAGTCTTGAAATTTTAATTTTTATGACTTTAAACAGTCTAGTTAAAATGATTAAATAACACACACTGTATTTGTGGGTAGGTCAACTACACACACACACACACACACACACACACACCATCCCATGTGTTTTACATATTTGGCTAGCTTTTGTGTACTCTGTTTCATTGCTTGTTGAAATAGTGAAAAAAGGGTTTAGAAAAAAACCCCACTAAAAATGTTAAGAGCTATTGCAAAAACGTAAATGCATAAGTTCATGAATGTACAATTTCTCTCTTTCTTTGGCTCCCTGTATGCATATGAGCACTGCGACATAGCATGCTCTGTGTACGCAGTATATAGTGTGTTAAATGTATTTAAAAGGTATTCCCATATTTTATTCATATTAGTAAAAGCATATATTTTACTTTGATTTCAGAGAAGCTACATAAATTCAAACCCATTAAACTTTAGTCTGGATATTTATTTATTTATTGTTTACAGTCTTTGTGTGTGTACACAAATCACAGCCCAAGGGAGTGATTTTATTTATTTCTACAGTAGTTGATGCAATCACAAAGTTTTTAAGATAAAGCCTTCAAACCACCTATTGGTTTAAATGTGGTTAGTCCATAGCAGGTTGTTTGAGCTTTTCAGCTTAACTCGGTTTAGGATCTCATCCTTGGATTGCAATTCTTGCAGATACTAATTTGGAAGTTAGCTTCTCTTCAAGAACTCTGGTAGGATTTTCAGCATTAGGTTATCATCCTGGGGCTCAGGGTAGTATATGTGAAAAACAACTGCATAATTAAATCAGCCCAAGTATTTAGCCTACTGAGAGGTCTTTATTGTGTTTTGTTATAATACTTCACAATGAAACAATCTTAAGAGATTTTACAGAACTGGCTGTAATCGTGAACGGACTTTCTCTGGTGCAATCCGGTATCTTTTAGAACAATTTATTCTAGAGTAAATGATTGCCACGGCATGTGTTTGCGCATGTAACAGAAAGGCAGAACAAAGCAGCAATAATAGATCTGGCTTTGCCAACACCAGTAGCTGCAAAGTAGCTTTTAAGAAGTGATGTGCTCAAAGGTTATCTTTGTTATATGAGATGTACTTACTTAGTTTTTAAAGTGCGACTGGTGTTTAGTTAAATCTTTTACAGACTCAGTTCACTGAAGGTGACAGAAGTACTCACTTGAGCTCAATGAGAAGTAGACATGACAGTAAATTTTTCAGTCCCAGACAGGGGATCTTGTTATAGGAGTCAGTATGGGGGTCAGGGCAGAGCCTGTTGATGATTGAGGAAAAGAGAAGTAAATTCATTCTGCTCCAGGCACTTTGTCAAGTGCCAGTAGCTTACCATTGAGAACTAGTCACCCGTTCGAGTCTTACAGCCCTAGAGGTCACTCATTTGATATAAATCATAGCACTGCATAGGCTCAGCAACCCATTGCCATTCAGGATGAAAATAAAAAAGAGGAATGCAGCCTTCTGAATGGAAATGACTGCGAACGTCCCCACCACATGTTGCTGTTTAATGCAATATGCGGCTCGATATTGATCTCCAGAATCAAGTCATTAAAATGTGCAGGTTTTTTTGTTTATTGGAATGAAGCAATTAAATGGTTCAGTTATGCCAGACCTTACCTTTTCTGATGAAAACTATTGATTTCTTGCCACAGCTTTATAAGCGACAATGTTTTTGATTACTCTTGACAAACCTCCTTGGAGTGTTAATTAAAATTGTACCAGATGAGCAGGTGTGGGAGATCATTAGATTGCCCGGATCACACACCACACTTCATATTGTGCAGCCTTGCATAATGAATAGGGCACAAGAGGGGGAAAACAATATCTTAATCAGCAGAATTAGCATCTTTGCTTAAACCCCCCCTCCACAACCAACTAGGTGGCATTCAGTTTTACAGTACCGACATCCATCAGCTGTTGGAGAACTTCAGTGTCACTGACTACACTTCCTCTTTTATAATAGTAATTTGTTTCAAAGGACAAGTCTAGTCACTTTTATTTTTAAAGCACAAAAGATTACACTATACTAGAAAGGCAAGAGACAGCATGAAAATAAACAGTTAGGATGAAGCTATGCATCCAATTATCTTTTTAATGCAAAAAATGCCATGAATTTTGCCAGAAGAAATATTTTAACATGTATTCTATTGATTTCTTGTATTCTTCTTGTTGCTGGACTAAATGTTTTGGTAACTATGTCATGAAAGACATTGATTTGGTTAGCTTTTGAAGTGAAGCCAACAAAGGGAGGTTCTTTTTTTAAAATTTGCATCAGCAATTTTACTTTGTACATTTATCAAAATTGACTTTTGGGGGAAGGCATTATGACTGCAGTCTGATGCACACATATATACAGCCTAATTTTATGTGTAAGTTCAGTAGGGCTTACTCAAAGAAACCCACACTGAATTCTGGCATAAGGCGAGGCTATATCATAATGTATTATTTACTCTCAACGTTGGTTTTTAAAATAGTGCCTGAAGTTAAAAATCCAACACAATCATGGTTGGAACCGAGGCTCTGGTGACAATGGAAGTTTGTTTTGATAGACAGCTTTGCACTGACAACCACACACACAAAATGACCAAAGACAAGGAAGGAAAGGAAGAAACACAGAGTATATAGCACAGGGCTGAGGTTTGGAGTGATGCAGAGGAATGTGTAGAACAGCTGCTCACAAAATACCTGCCTTGTAAGTAAATGGAAAGCTTCAGCTTCTATTAATTTGACTGGCGTGCTCTAGTCAACAGTAACGAAAATCCTATGTGATGTGCTTGCAATGCAGCCCCCATTACATTTGAATAGACAATTTGGGTCTGCACTGCTTTTTCTTCTTTTTGAAGTGTGCTGTTTTACACTGTGAGCAATTGAGATATGACATAAAGAAGCGTGAGGTTTTGCAGATGAGTGCTAGCTTAGAATGACTATTATTATTTCTACTAATACTGTATTACAATTGTTATTATTTTATTTCTGTATGGCCTTTCCTCCTGGTTGTGAACCCAGAGTGGAGTACATCATAAATAAGATATAGTCAATTAAAGCAACATTACATTGAAACCAGTCTAAAAACTCCTGACATCAAGCAAAACCCAACTAAAACCTGTAATAACATATTTCAGCTGCTTGGTACCTGTAAAGGATGCAAGCAGTTTCTACCTTAAAGTACCAAGTAGAGGCATGCCCTACACGCACCATCCCCTCCCCTCAAAAAAGGCTGGTGACCCCTACTTTACTTACATGGTCCACATAAATAGAAAAACACACACACCAGTGCCTTTTAAATAGATAATTTACAACACAATTCTAGACATGCCTGCTTAGAAATAAGGCCCACTGAGTTTGATAGGGCTTACTCCCAGGTAAGTGGGTATAGAACTGCAGCCCTAACTGACCATCCCTTTAGACTTTGCTTGAAATGACATGCTCGTTAGTTTTCCATAGCTTAACAATTAGAGTGATGTGTTGAATTTTCCTGTATGATTATGCACCAGTTATTGAATTATTCAGCAATACACATTTTCTCGGGATCTTAAGTGACATACAAGCTAAGTATACCAGCCCCTTTGCTAAACTAATAGAAGAAACAGAGGGAAGAGAGTGGAAATGGCAATGTTCGCACATTATAAGGCATAAACCACAAGGTTCCTGCCCTCTCCCAGCTCACACTAAGGCTGTATATATGCTCCTGTTTACTTGGCATCCAGTGCACTCCTGCTGCAAGTCTGGCAGCATTAACCACAACAAACCTTTATCCTGTCGTTTGTAATGAAATGCTACATTTTGATGTGTTTCCCCCACAAACCGCATTCAATCTTCAATCTAACGTGTACAGAGCCTAAGAGGGAGGGAAACATGGTCCCTGCCTGGTTTAGTGTTACTCCAAACAAATCACAACCTGTAGCCAAATTTTATTATTGGCTTACAGGTCATTGGATGTAGTGATAAATCCAGGGTGGTGGTTTGCTTTCTCTGGGTGGAATTAAGCAGTTTTGCTAGTGCACAAAAATCCATGGTTTATGGTGCACTGTTATGTGCAAACACTGCAGGAATTGTTGAAGGCTATCTCCTACCACAACCAACGCACTATTCTGTAACCTGAGCCCTTTTGTACACAAAAGTTACTTGCCAAATCTGCCCAGTAGTACACGTAAGACAATAACAATATGCCTGCAGGTGCATTGTGGGGAATAAGTAATCTTCTGGCTCATGGAGAATTAACCTAACAGCAGTCCTTAACATAGGTTGTCAGCGTGTGGGATGGGCTAGGTGAGGAATGCAGAATTATACCCCAGGATCGTGGTGGTGATCTCTGGCCCCACAATCTTAAATTCTGAAGTAAAAAAAGAAGGGTTGATGGAAGCACTAGGTACTAACGGGAGCTAAGCTAAGATATTTCTGCTGTCTGCTGCTGAGCAGCAACCCCACATGCACCCTCAAGTCAAGGTGTATTAGTTCCCTCAATGAAGACATGGGGTTGATATTTTTGACTAACTCACAGTGCCCCTGAAGATACACAAAGAGAACATTTTATTTGAAAAGGAAAATGGCTATACTATTAAATAGGGTTGATAGGACCCCTATCACAAAGAACTGAAGAGGGCTAAAGATAACGTCACTATAAAGTATATCCTATGGGTTTATAAATGCTATGCCCTCACTCTGCTGCCTTTATCCACAAGGAACCTATCCTATCCTTGTTGAGGGAGGAGGGTGGTTCAGGTGGAATGATTATGCAGGGCTAGTGATACTGCCAACCTCCAGCATCTGTTTTCCTGAGTTTGTCTAATCTCTGCCCTGGGTGCAATAATGGGGACTGGAATTAAGGTCTTCATCCACCACTAAATTTCTTAAAGCAAATCCCTAATTGCTGACCAGGTCTATTAGGGCTGCATAACCTACTGTGATGACAATGCTACAAAAATTCAGTGCAGCACATTGTTTTATGTAGATGGAATAGTCTATATCGATTCCCCCTTTTGTTTAAGTAGAGCTCCATTGTTTTATTTATTACTAAATTGCTCTTTTGTTGCTTCCTGACGGTTTGATTTGTTGCGCCGCTTACATATCAAATGAGCCAAAGTCTCTCTCTCTTTCATTATTCTTTGAGCCATATTGAAAACCATTCCTGTCAGCTGATACTCTCCCAAGTAGCTTGGGAGAACTTTGGCATAGTTTGCCTAACCTTACAAACAGTAAAAGCTAAATTCGCCTTTGATTAAAATAATAATAATAAAGCCAGAGGACTTTGGCACAGAGCCATTAAGGATGCAGGTGACGTTTGTAGCAGGCTTGACAGAATATTTCGCAAAACAGTAAATGTTCTCCTGAGGGTCCCTCAAATGGGCTGCGGCACTTTGCTTGTACTTAACATATATCAACTGTCACCCAACGGCAGTCACCGCTGAACTGAGCACAATGGAACATCCAGATGGGCTAAACAAAGTGAGCAAATGTTCAATGCTATTAAAAGCTGTTTACATCAACTTCCAGTATTTCATGTGGTGAAGTTTATATTGTGTCACCTCTGAGCTGCTTAGCTCCATCCACTGCCTGCCGACACTTTTGTAAACTATTGTTGCTTATGTATGAAAATGCTGTACGTGCTACAGAGCATTTAAACAGCAGGGAACAGTCCATTGTATGCTAATTGCTTACTCCCAAGTATTTTAAATGATCTTAGTTTCTACTTAGCAGATCTCCTTTGCAGACTTCTTTTCCAGCCTTACTATTCTTCTAACCGACAGGTGAACCATCAGGATTTGTTTTATTTTTCCTCCCACTTGCAAATCTGCAAACACTTTGTGCCATATGCAAATTTGCTGCATACAAGTAAGATGATGTCGGATGAGACGAAATTTCAAGGAATGATGCTTTCCCCATAATTGTGTTTCTGTACTAGAAAAAGCTTAACCTGTTGAATCCCAACAGGCAGATATACAGCTATAATATATACATAGGAAAAACTCTTGCAGAATTACATAGCCAAACTAGTTCTTCACATTTTCTGGAAGTTGATTTGAAGAGATGTCTCTTTCTCCTTTAAGTTGCTTATTGTTCCACCCATTCTTGGATAAGTGCTGCAGCTTAGTGGCAGAACAAGTGGACCGTTACTGAGGTGGATGGCCTAATGAAGCCGCCCAGAGTGGCTGGGGAAACCCAGCCAGATGGGCGGGGTACAAATAATGAATTATTATTATTATCATTAATGATCTGGCTTAATCTAAGGCAGCTTTCCATGTGCCTTCATTATTGGAGCCTCTTCCATTACCTTTTTAAAAAAATGAATTTGCAGATGGGGGGTTTCATCTGTTTGTTATTTACACCAAATTTCTTTTTAAAAAGGCTGTCTAGTTCATGATTCCAGGACATGACTGCTCCAGGTTCCCACTTTTGCCAGCAAACTGTATCAAATGTGTGTGGATGTATGTATGGGTGCTATTTCACTTTTTTGAAAAATGAAAGCAAAGAAAGAAGAGTTTGCCATTTTGGGAGGAGTAGGTGTGTTTGGGAAATGTGTAAAGGTTAAAAGAAGGGTAGCAAATAGGATAAAACTGAAATGGACTAAAATAGGAGTGCTTGTCTGCATACACAATGTGACTTTGTTCATTCCATTATGTAGAAGAGATTTATTCTGGAGTGAGCCAGTCCTGTGTGCTTGGAGAGCTCCAGTTCTGCTTGCTGCCCATTTGCTTTATATAAGGTCTGTACCTTCAAGTGTATCAGATTGTTCCAAAGCCTCTGCATTCATGCTTGACAGAGGTCAAACCTCGTGCCTTTAGATGAGCCCTTGGAGCCAGTTTGTCAATCCAAATGCAAGCTGCTCAACTTCCTGTTTATGCCTGTGCTGAGTTACATATCCGGACTTCCTTGCCTTCAGCTGCAGGTTTTTCCGTACTCCCTAGGAGATCCCTTCCTTAAAATGGTTTCTTATCATTTAAGCAGGCTGCTGGAATTTTGCTAATTCCTGTTTCACTTAACGCATGTGAAGTTCTGCATCGGCTACACAGGCCATACAGTGTTACCAAAAGGTGATTTAAATAACAATGTACGATCAGAGAGGGCATTAAATGCAATATTTTGATTACCTGTTAAAGGCACTTCCTGTAAACGGACCTCAAGTTGCTATCAATGAAAGTGTGATCTTGTAAATTTAAGTTGTAGTTAGGATTTTGCTGATGACCGTTTTGTGTACCTTTAAAAAGAGTATCCTTGCACCTCAAGGTTAATTTTGGCTGACACTACAAGTGGTTTTAAAACTGATAATCTCTCCACTAGATGCTGATGCTGAATCCTACTAGTACTTGTTCCTGCACTTACAAGCTTGCCATCTAAAATTAAACACTGGGAGCAAGCAACAGAAGAAGAAGCCTAAGCTGAAAGAGACAAGTTAGCCAGGTGAGCAAATGCAATTACACATGCTACACCTTTTCAGAGGTGGCCTCCCAGTTATGGACCTGTATTCTAAACGTGATCCATAAGGCCTCATCCCTTGGCAGTTTTACACAGTCCTTAAAGAGCCATCTTTTTATCAAGGCCCTTGGGAGCCAATCTGTAAATTGGTCATTTTATTTTCTATTGTATACTATACTGACTATATATTGTTGGACGGAGATATATATTTCAAATGTTTAAAGGGAATTATTGCTGGATTTTATGAATATGCATTGATATGATGGGAGGCAGTTGGTCTAAAAGTCAAATTGAATTGAATTATTATACCAGCACCACAATTTTTAAGTGTTATTGGAACAAGCAAATATCCAGCATTGAATACTACACTGTCATCAAATGTTGTGCACAAGGCTAAATATTTACACTGCGTATATTAATAGGAAGGCAACCCACCACTGAGCAAAGGTGTCACGTTTTAAGCCCTGACCCTTTGTATAGAGTCAATAGCCTCTGGCAAAGGTGCAAGAATAAATAATTCAGCCGTCTACAGTGGAAGTACCAAAGGAAGCATTGTATTCAGAAGAGAATTTGTCTAAGCAGTTAATCCAGCTACAGGGGTTTGGGTGTGGGTGGGTGGGTGTCCTTCTCCCATCTAAATAGAACAGTATGTTGGTGCAACGAAGGGAGGGAAAGTGTTAAAGCAGCTTGGTCCCTCCAGAAGTTTTGAACTACAACTCCCATCAACCCCAGCTGGCATGGTCTATTGTCCAGGCTGATGGCAGTTTTGTCCCTAACATCTGCTGATCACTAGGTTGAGGAGGCTACCCTCAATTTCATAAATTTATTATTATATATAGATCTTATGTTCTTACGTTCATGACATAAAAATACAAGATGGAAACACCAAAATAGCTATCCTCATCTGTCTTTACACACCCCTGCCTCCATTATTATTATTATTATTATTATTATTATTATTATTATTTTGTATACCGCCCTATATCTGCAGGTCTCAGGGCGGTTTACAGGATAAAATCACAATATATATAAAAACCCAAATACATAATAAAAACAAAAGCAACCCAATAACACTCCCCCCCCATTTTAAAAGGGCATTGAATGTGCATTAGCCAAAGGCCTGGTTAAAGAGGAAAGAGTTTGCCTGGCGCGTAGTTCAGGGGTCGCGTGACTACATTATGTTTGCTATCCAGATCCATCTCTCTTCTGTGTGGCTCTTCCTGAAGAGCACACAATTTGTTGTGCACAGTGGGGAATTTGTGACTGCACAATGAAGCTTCCTATCATGTAAAAGAGAACGGGAAGCTATGAATATACTGGGCTCCAGGGAGTGCTCTGATTGTGGCCGTTGTGTATAGACTTGCACGCAGAAAGGAATAATTATTGAACTTAATGACTGTCGTGTTATCTTAAGAGATGTTCCTAATGAATATAGAGTAGCTTTCAAACGTAAGTGTTTGGGCTCCACACTGTTTAAATAATGTTTGATTGATCAACTGCAATTTAACCAATTAAATAATAATTAAATTTAAACAACTAAATTTAAATAACTTTGCATATTGCCAAACCTGATGTCCTCTGAGATTTTGAAGGCAATGTGACATAGCTTGCAATTTAATAAAAAGGTGTCACTCATTGGAAGGGAAGCTTAATATTTTATTTTTCATTTCCTGTTTCCTTTATGCAGAACTAAGGCGTTAGTTGAATAACGTTAAGATCTGTAGAGGGGGCTCTCTTAATATTTTCCCCAGCCTTGGAACTGTGGAGGCTGGGAGAGAGCTTTTTCTGTGGCAGCCCTTAAATTGGGGAACTCCGTCCCCATAGAATGCATCTTGCAACTTCACTGTGCAGCCTTTGCTGTATGTTAAAGAAGCAGCTTTCCCCCCTGGCCTTAGGCAGTGAAGGTGACTTTGGCTAAATTTATACCATTCTATTCCATTTGGAATGGTGATGTGGAAAGTAAAAAACTTCACTCCATTATCACTGTCTTCATTCTTATTTATTTGACAGATATATATATATATATATACTGTAAAGTTAAAGGGACCCCTGACCATTAGGTCCAGTCGCGGACGACTCTGGGGTTGCAGTGCTCATCTTGCTTTACTGGCTGAGGGATCCGGCGTACAGCTTCCAGGTCATGTGGCCAGCATGACTAAGCCGCTTCTGGCAAACCAGAGCAGCGCACGGAAACGCCGTTTACCTTCCCGCTGGAGCGGTACCTATTTATCTACTTGCACTTTGACGTGCTTGTGAACTGCTAGGTTGGCAGGAGCAGGGACCGAGCAACAGGAGCTCACCCCGTTGCGGGGATTCGAACCGCTGACTTTCTGATCGGCAATCCCTAGGCTCAGTGGTTTAGACCACAGCTCCAGCCGTGTCCCATATATACTGTACTCCCCTTCAATTAGCACTTTATTAATAAAATATAATAGTAATAAAGCAACAACAATTAAAGGCAGAATTTAAAAAAAATGAGAAGATAAATGTCAAATCAGCAGTTAAAAGATTGGGAAAATTAAAAGGTTTTCATCTGGCTCCAGAAAGATAACACAAAGTCCAGCAACAACATGCAGCTTCTTTGGGCAGGAGTTGGAGCTCTCCAAGATATAGCAATGGCCACCAATTTAGATGGCTTTAAAATGATTTATGGTGCATTAGGCTCTCAATGGCCACTAGCCATGATGCCTATATTCTGCCTCAACTGTCGGAGGCAGTTCCTGGGGATTACAAACAGAATGGCATCCACATACTGCTTGCTGGCTTCAGATTGGCAAAATTTTGGAACCAGGATGTGAATGGAAAATGTATGGACTTAATTTTCAATACTTTCATTTAATATATATAGTAATACCTCCACGAACGTCTGCCTCATCTAGCGTCCATTCCAGCGAATGTCCGTGGCAAACCTGGAAGTACCGGAATGGGTTACTTCTGGGTTTGCTGCTTGCACATGCGCAGAAATGCTAAATCGTGCTTTGTGTGCGTGCGCAGATGTGGCGCTTTGCCCTGCGTCCTTTTCGGCTAGCAGCTGTGGCTCCGGGACAGATCCCAGTCGCAAAAGAAGGTACGACTGTACTGCTGACTCTAAGGTTAATTTAGATGGACATCAGACGTAGCAGTCACCGCAAAGTGGCTTTGGGGGACTGAATAACTATTGGTTTCCATGCTTTAGCCTAATCATAGACCATTTTAAGAATGTGCTTTGTGTGTGTCAGAATATTCATATGAAAACATCATCCAGATTGAAATCACATCATCTTGTAATGACTTCATTAACTCTGCCACCAGTTCAGCAACCCTTTTTATTCCCTTTCACCCTTTGTTTTCTGAAACATTTTCATGATGTTGTTGTTTTTGGTCAGAAAAACGAATGTTGCTAAATATGGTTTCTGGTTTTTTTTTATAGTAAAACCAACAATAACAACGAGTCTAGCTATTATATTAACAATTAGTGCTGATCCCACACACGGCTTTCATCTCCTGGTCATTTGTCATAATGCTTATATTTCTCTTGCAATGAGGATGTGTGATGCCTCTCTGAAAGCAGCTGGAATGAAAACAAACACATCCACCAAGTTTGGCAAGCAAGAGAACAGAGACAGATTAATTTGTTGTGTGCTTCAAAGGGTTCCTCAGAAAAAGCTCTTTCATTGATGGTGGAGTGGCACACTATGCCTGTAAGCATGGAAAGTCTGAGCTCCATTCTTAATTTAGTACTGTGTGGGAAAGTTGATGGACGATGACAGTAATGTTGGTTTTACTTCTATTGTAAGGTTCTTTGTAAAAGAGCAAGTTTCGGTTATTAATCTGCAAAATCTTAATTTCTGTGGATTAATTCTGAACACACATATATACACACACTGCTAAACCTCACTTCTAATGCTGTGCAATTTCCCAGTTCATTTATACAGTTGTCTCTATCTGGGTTAAGTTTTGTTTCTAAACTGTGCAAAGAAGAACTAAAGAAACTTCTATTTAAAACAAAGTTCACGGAGTTCAGTAAGTGTTCCAAACAACAGGAAAATAATCCTAAATTATTCTAAGTCTGCAATGTATACACTTACCTGGGAGTTAGCCCCACTGAACTCACTGGAACTTACATATCGATTCATGTTATTAGAAGAGAATTTGTCGCTAGCACACTTCACTTTGATTTCCACTCCACCCCGTCCAGTTGATTATTTTATGTCATTTTGGTAAGAACTTGGCTTGAAGTTCACAGGCAGCACAAAACATGTAGCTACAAACAGAGCCCTTCATCAGTTGAAACATCTTCCCTTCAGACTTTGGGATAAATAGACTTCTCCGTTTACCACTGACACGTGTGTGAGGAACAGCCCATAACATGATTGAACTCCATTGATTTTTCATAAAAGTTTAATAAGACGATACAGGTCAAAAGCTTTGCAAAATTTGCAATAAATTTTGGCAGCTATCTGAACTAGACTTTGCTGCAAAAGCTGACATAAGAGGAGTGAAAGTGTTGGCTGAGACTATGAAAGGTAATGAGCACTGTGAAACTTTTGATCAGCTTTTTCAAGACCTTTGTATTGACTGCTGTTTCTCAGCAGATTAATTTTTTTTGTGTTTAGAGGAGATTTCATTCATTTGATAATATCAGCATATCTCCAACAGCATGCATTATAAAAGCACCTTCCTAATAGTGATGTCCCAAAACACTTTGATGCCCAAGACAGACTATCCCAATGGTGGTCAGAGTATTAAAACTAAATAATTGACATTTTGCTGCCTTTTAGTGGTATTCCAAAACATGCTGTCTGAGGTGAACTGCTTCTTCCCGCCAAATATTTGGGATGATCCTGCTCCCTAAATGCAACCTCTCTTGAAGTGCAGCTTTCTGTGGGAATGTTGAGGAAGGTAGGAGAGGATATATTGATTAAATATTATCCCTCCTCACT